GAAGTCGTAGGGCGGTGCGTCGAGGGCTGATTCGCACAAATCGACAACTACAGATTCAAGGACAACCCCCTACCGTCTTCGTAGAATCCAACTTACGATTCGCTCGCACTCGCCTCTTGAAGCAAAATAAACGGTATTTCGACATTCTGCACCTTGTCAGTTATGCTACTTGATTAACACCAACAGAATTTGGCCACATTTTCACGACAGTTCCTGCCGTGAGCCAAGAAAGTCTGCATTCAAACTTAGTAAGTTTCGAGCATCCAATACTTAATGTAGCTGCTAGTACCATTTCCTTCGCAAAGTATTGTTCTCGTAAAAGTAGCCATTAGTTCTGATTCTATGAGGCATTGGTCGGATGGGCCTAGCTCTGAATCTGACTTTTTGACCTTTGATAGAGGCTTTTGGGAATTGTCCGATCCACCCATATTGTTTGTCGCATCGTGATTTTCATTGACTCGATAGGGGTCAGTGCATGTTCAGTAGTGAGTGTCTTCGTCATTCGCTAGATCGCCGTTTGTTGGATTGGCATCGGCTGCATTTTTGCATCAACTTGCCTAGTTTCTCGACGGACGTACTTAGCAGTTCGACTAATTTTTCCCTACTGGCGACATTACATCGCCAGTAATTTCACTCAGGTTAATAGACCACCAGACCCACCCACCTCTACTTCACGCCTTTATCCCTTGTTTAATCGATGCCAACTGATCCTGTCCTAACTTAGCTTGGTCAAAGTACAGACCGGAGATTAATCCCCGCATCATTCTCTGACCCTACTCGAACGCCAATTCGCGGTTTACGCGTATCGGGGCCTATGGATTGGCTGAGCGGCATAAGACCGCTGCCCCTCCTGGAAGGACCGAAGTCATTTTGCATTCGGCACCAGTTACCCGATGGTAGAACTCAATCTCCCCTCCGCTGAATGAGGAGCTGCCTGGATTGTCACTAGAACCACGACAGGAGTCGATCGACCCTAGCTCAGCTAGTAGCAAAAGCAACCACATTATGCGAGGCCATCAAGCCAGACCATTTTGGGCCTTGAACCAACAAGTGAGCGAAACGGACTTGGGTGCTCTAGTCATGCCAACAACCACGCAAGCTGGTTCCGGGTGGCAGCGGTGGCAGAGGGTAAAACGCCTTAACGCCACGTAGGCTAACTCAAATCATCACCCACAGCATTCTGGCACGGAGTTAGAAAATACCTAGGTCGTGGGCGATATCTTCGCGCTAGCTAAACATGAACGGGAAAAGCGAACATGGTGGGGAACGGAAATAGCCAACCGGTTAGAGACGGTCAGGAGGTGAGATAACAGAAGATTGAACCTTGCACGAATCTCCACCGTTTTGGAGTAGCCAACTGTGCGACACCAGATACGTAGTCCACAAGCAGACGGAAAAGATAACCAGTACTGCTGAGTCCCAGCGCAAATGCCGCCCACCACGGTGACCTCACCTAGAGATCATCAGAAATGAGAATAGCATGTCCTGATGAACAATTTAAGCCATCTTGTGGGGAATCCAAGGCCTAAGGGACGGCGATTCGGTTTACCATGGAGGCTAGATGGTGAGTTGCGTGGGCAGAGCATTCGCCCTAACCCGTCCGCCGCGTGTGGGGAAGAACGGACAAAGGCAAACCATGTTGTAGGCGACAAAGTTAGAAAGAAAAACCGCGGATCTGCGGAGTTATTGTATTAAGACAAGTAACCAATGGTGAGACTGAGCAGACACCACCAAGGCAACAACCGCGGTGGGCTTATTTAGAGCCGGTATATTTTGTCACAGCTTTGGTGCCTTCAGAAACTGCATGTTTTGCAAGTTCACCGGGGAGTAGTAGTCGAACGGAGGTCTGGACTTCGCGACTGGTAATCGTAGATTTTTTGTTGTAATGAGCAAGTCTGCTGGCCTCGGCAGCTATCCTTTCGAATATGTCATTGACAAAGGAATTCATTATGGACATCGCCTTGGAAGAAATTCCAGTGTCCGGATGGACCTGTCTGAGCACTTTGTAAATATAGATGGCATAGCTCTCCTTCCTCCTTCGCTTCTTCTTCTTGTCAGTCTTAGGACGCTTCACCTTGGAAGCCTTCTTGGCAGCCTTTCCAGAGACGAGCTTGGGCGGCATAGCTGATGGTAAGGGGGTGAA